ACGTGGCTGTACACTGGGTCTTCTCTGCCGACAACAAGCGCAACACCAAGTTGCGAATAATCAAGATTGTCAGGTCTCGAGCACGACAACGAAGGCAACAAGTTGTGACAGGCACCCGAAAAGCAGGATGTTTCCATAACAGGAAATGACAGTGGAGTAGAACTGTAACCGGGCCCGAGCGAAAGTCGACTGGTGGCCAGAGTGCGAGCCGGAATCTTGTATCAAATTTAGGCACAACGAGGCCACTGCAAGTGCGGGAGCCAGATAGATTAGAAAACTATGTAGACAGGACGGATATGTAGACCGTGCACACGCAGCAGAACCCGACATAGGGCAAAGCCCCCGGGGGTATAGGATATAAAACAAGAAAAGCAATATTGACGTCACTGTAATTCCGGCTAGGCCTCCTCTGTGACATGGACTGTTTTTAGGTTAGTGTCCTCTCTGGGGATAGATGGTGCCAAAATTACTGGAAGATGTCATAATCAGCTAAATTAAGCTGAAAAGCAGTGATATGTCAACTTGGGGGAACTTGATAACACCACATAATAAATCCTATGCGGGTGTTGATGCAAACTCAACAGCAGCCTGAGCCAGCTATACATAGCAACCCCACAAACAAAGGTCATCTTGAAGAACAAATATATATATATTCATCCAGGCAGGATATGCTAACAAGAGACTGAGTACTCCTAGTAATGTCCGAAAGGCCTCTTGGGCCTGACTGATCTCGAGGACGCGTGCACGTTACTCAGACATTGACGTTGATGGGAGTGCATGCCACAGAAACAAGGCCGTTCTATGAAAGCAAGTTGAATAAGTCTGCTCCAATGTACATAACACCATATACTCACAATGTTGTTATGTTCACAACAAGCGGTCTGGGCAGCGCAAGACTCGCCATCAGCACCAATTCCAGTGACAGGAATGCATTTCACTATTGAAACATTCAAACAACTGTTCATCATTGTCAAAATCACACATACCTGAAAGGGGAACGGTTAAGCTCCCGAGGCTAGCGCCAAGGAGGGTACCTAGGATACTCCCAGCACTAGCAGGGCCGGCCTATACACGAACGAATTAGACAAGAACATCTAGAAAGAGAGGAATATGCTCACCTTGGTAGCGTCGTCGCAGCACATAACTTCACCACTGCTGCAGCTTGGAGCAGTGCTGTCACTTGTGGAATAGCCATCGGTGGGAACAGCAATGGAAGGGAGGACGAGGAGGACGATGGTGACGAGACGAGCAAACATTGTGTAGTGATTGACAGGGTGTTCAAGTAGCTTGAAGACAAAAGTCGTCAAATTGTTGGTTGTAGAGGTCCTCCTGCTCTCTTTAAACCTTTGTGCCCCTCACTCCAATTTCCGATCGCGGTCTAAAGCATCTTCGCTTACGTCTTTATGCTTTCCCGAGTTGTGTCAGTTCCATATTACTTGTCAACGAGCCAAGACGGAGTTAGAGAGAGAGAGATCTAGACATTCGAAGATTTTGAAAGTGGAATTTCGTAAGTTTTGTAAGTAGGTGTGCAATTACTTGCGCCTTCCGATTCCCTAATCCAGCATGAGTAGTTCATGCGAAGAATGTCAACTGCCACTGACCAAATCGAATTCTGTCAATGGATGGTGGGCACGATCAGGTCATTCAAACTTTAATTTTTTTTTTTCAAAGTGAAACGGAACTGCGGTTTATCCAGATCGGTTGATGGTGAAGAGCTTTGACATAATAGACCTCGAACTTTGAACCGTGACACAGTATAAATTTGCAAGTGTCGCCTGTACTCAACTCGAGTTCGGAGTATGAATATAACGTACTTACCCAATACATCTGGAAGTTGAACTAGTACAAGATGCCGAGTCACCGTATGAAGGCCATAATTGAAGGAAACCGTAGCGGTCATGATGAGAGAACTCAGAGAACCAAAGAACATTTACGAACGCTACTATCCTTGGTATATTGTCACACAATCCGATCATCGCATCTAGGCAGCCAGAAGCCCTTTCTGCGCCAGCATATGGATGCCACTGTCGGTCAAATTGACCATCACTGCCCGACATCTTCATCAAGTGTAAGTGTATTTTGATGGTATTTGAAGGATGCAATGATTTAAATTCTCACCAAGTCCCTCTTCACTGTGAACGCCACAATGTGAAGCACAAAACTAGATGATCCAAGGTGGGCATTGCACTGAAATGATAGCATAGTACGCTGAGCGGATGTTGTATTCTCACATTAATAGTTTTTGAAGTAGCAAGGAGATGCCGGAACATGCACCAGCATAATGGAGCTTTGAAGAATTGCAAACGGTGAATTAGGCTTGTCCATATCTGGGTAGGCACTTCAAGTCGAACCAATCAAAAGAATCTGCAAGATCGAACAATGTCAGTGAAACATTACACATGTCGTAGAACCTACTTCTCTAAACAACGTGGAGTTCTGTTCACCTCAGGGTTTGAGGATCGAAAATGTTGAGAGAACCTACAAGCGCTGATGATGGAAAGGAAAAGCTGGGGTCCGAAGCACAGCACAGGTGCACTCAGAGTGTGCCATGAAAAGACACAAAGAAAAAGAAGACACAAGAAGAGAAGAAAAACACATTCTCCGCAACTATGCCTAAATCTGACAAGGACGTGGCTGCCAGATATAAACTGGGTCTTCTCTGACGACAACAAAGGCAACACCAAGCTGCGAATACTAAAGTCTGTCAGGTCTCGAGCACGACAACAAAGGCAACAAAAAAGCAGGATGTATCCATAACAGGAAATGACAGTTAGAGCTGTAACCGCGCCGAGCGAAAGTCGACGAGCAAGGTGGTGGCCAGGCGAGCCGGAATCTTGTTTCTGGACGAATAACGCAGAGAATTAAGAAAGGGTTCTCGGGGCGACACCCAAATTTGAAGAACACCGTTAACGCGCTAGAAGCAATGGACTGGAGTCCTATCGTAGTCAGAAAGCTGTCAGATTGGCTACCACCCGATATATATAATCATCTAGAGTTCAACGTCCAAGTTCGATCAGAGCTAATGAAAGTCTTACTAGCCACAAAGAAGATCCGAAGTCAGCGTTAAGGATGAAGAGAAATGTTTGTTCTCATCCGAGTAAGAATTTGCAGACGTACGTGTCATTTACGCTACGAAAACGGATAGAATTTTGACCCGTAAGAGGTATCGAACATTTCTCTTCAATGACAAGGATGAAACATCGAAGGACTTGAGCTGCAGACAGCACGGAATCCAAAGGTCTTGCCATACACGGCTTCCTTCTCATTGACTCATGGCCTAACTAGGACTACTCGCAACAAGCCTCGCAGCAGCCGCAAGCCCGACCGCTCCAACCGCCGCCGCATCATCGACAAACTCTACATATCGAAAGACATGTCCCCTACTCTTCAAATCCTCCAGCACCAGAGCTCTGTACTTGTCAATCCCAACCAACGACCCCCCAAACGAAATCACGCTCTCCTCGGCCTTGACCGTCCTTGGCGCATCCTCAGCCTCAGCGCCGTCCCCAAGCAGAACGGCCACCTGCTCCGCTAGGGACCCCGCACACATCTTGAGGATCCGGAGCGCAAACGCGTCGTTGTGGTCAAACGCTGCTTCAAACACGAGCGGGGATAACGACGACAGACGTTTCTCGCGCGGGAGCTTGAGATACTCTGTCGTCCCATGAGATAAATACACAAGCGGTAAAATCTCCGGCACATGCGTGACGCCAAACGTCTCCAATACTCTCTTGGTCAACACGCTCTCCGCGGCCGCGGGCGGACGGCCGGACACCGACGCCCTATCGAAATCTAACAAGATCTGGCGGACGGCCTCGCGGCCTACATTGAAGCCGCCACCCTCGTCGCCGAGGATCCACCCCCACCCGCCGACTCTCGCAAGCTCGTGGATGGACCCGTCGGGTCGCTGGGCGAAGGAGACGGCGATGGAGCCGGTGCCGGCAATGACGGCGACGGCGTGGGATGTGTCGGGGTGCGTGAGGAGCGGGGAGGCGAGGAGGTGGGTGTCGTTGGAGATGTGGACATGGGCAGGGGTTAGGTTGAGGAGGGTAGAGAGGGGGGGTGTGAGTGAGGAGATGGCGGCGGGGGAGTCGACGCCCGAGACGCCAAAGGATGCGGCGGCAAAGGGGGTGGGTGTGGGTGGGAGGGTGGTGGGGAGGTGGAGCTCGGGAGGACAGGCGCGGAGGGCGTCTTGGACGGTGCTGGAGACAGCGGCGGTGAACTGGGAGAAGGTGAGATTGGCAAAGTTGGAGGGGCCACCCAATGCGCGTGCGAGGATTGTGCCCTCGGAATCGCAGATGACAGCAGAGGTCTTGGAGCCGCCGCAGTCGACGCAGAGGTAGAGAGACATGATGGCGGAGAGAAATATACGGAGGATTGTCTGTGTCGGGGCGGAGAGATATACGGAGGATCGGGTACCGGACCAGGATAGGATCAATATGCGGCACAATCCATATGCCCGACGTCGTCGATCATGGCTGGCAGGAGCGAATGTACCTGGAGAAAGGGGCCATACCTGCAGAATGGGTCCATCACCCTGGAGAAAGGGGCCATACCTGCAGAATGGGTCCATCACCAGCAGCGACGCCTACCCTAAACCAATCTCCCACGGCCCACCTACATAAACCCCGAAATTTTCATTCCTCTTTTCTTTGTGCGGCGACACGGCCATCCTTTTTCCCCATGTTGCTCATGACTGCTCTTATACTGTCCAAGCGGTCGTTCGAGTGTCAGGCCGTGTTCTGAGCAAGCTGGACGTCTTAGTACCCTTTTATCGTTGCCTCTATGTTTTCCAGGAGGTCTCGATGGGTCGGTGGTTCCCTACATTTTCGTTATAGATTTACAATCAATTTTGTGTATGCGTGCCTCGTCATTTTCAGACCTCCATGATCGTTGAAAGCCACTATATGGAAGAATCTCTGAGGGACTAGATACCATTTCAGGTCGCGCGATGCTCACACTTGACTGAATCTGGCTTTTAAAGAAACACTCGTAGTCATGGCAACTTGGCCGAGTGGTCTAAGGCGCTGGAATTAGGTAGTGGGTGACCCAATTTGTCCATAATCCAGTCCGCAAGGGCGTGAGTTCGAACCTCACAGTTGTCATTCGGGATACGGTTCTTTTTGGCAGTCAGCACTTTGACAGCGTGATGAAAGGAACTTTCGGTACATGTATGACACTCGCGATTAATAAATGTTGATAGATGGGGTCAAGAAAAAGAAAGTACACAAAGACTCTAGGAATTAATCAGTGTCCATACGAGCCTCGAGACCCCTCCTGCCTCGACGGCCTCCTCCTCCCCTTGCACCTCTACCACCACGTCTGGCACCGCCCCGTGAGTTGGCAGGTGACTGAGTGTAATCGGCGGGGTTGGCGCCTGGTGGTGCGACGAGGACCTGGGCGCGGGGATCGTCTCGCAAAGAGTCTGAACGCATTTTGCTAGAGGGGATAAGAGAGTAGTTGGGGGGAAATGAAAGCAACGAAACTTACGAGTTGGAATCTTCCGAGTCCATGAGCACATCTACACTGCCTTCCTGTCTGACAAGGCCGAGGCCGTCTGCACCGCCCAGTCTCACGCCAAGACTTGTCGCGAGGCTGGTGGCGCCGACTATGCGGACGCTGAGGATATTGCCGTCCGCAGGCTGGTTGTTGTATTTTGCCACGGCGGCGGCGGCGTGTACGGGGGACTTGTACGTGAGTCTAATGCGGGGGGACTGTGCGTCTGTGGGTGTGACGAGGCGGGAGGCGGTGATTTCGCCGCAGGACCCAAAGATGGCTGCGACGTCGTTTGGGGTTGTGCCGGGGAGGAGGTTGGCGACTTCGACGACGTTTGCAGAGGAGGAGGCGCCCTTTATGGAGAGGGGGCGGGTGGAGGAGGACGAGGGGGAGGTTGCGGCGCGGAGGGCTTTTTGGGTTATGGCGGGGATGCTGAGACGGGGCGCAGAGGGTTTGATGTCGAGGCGGGCAGAGAGAGAGCCGTTGTCGTAGAGGTCGTGAGTCCATTGGGAGTCAATGTCACCCTTTGGGGGGCGGTTCTGCGGGGAAATGAGAGGACAGAGGAGAGAAAGAGGAGGAGAGACCCACGTAGGGAGAGGCACGGGAGTGAGATTTGTGGCGCACGGGGCCTGCAGCGGGGACGATGTTCATGCGCTCGAGGAGGGAGGCCATGGCTGCAAGCAACTGAACAAAACGAGAAACAAGAATAAACAACGTGGATCACGCTCTTGTCACGTTACAGCGCGCTCTTATTTTGAGCGCCATGCCGTACCCTGGTCCAGCTCAATGTCTTCCCGCATCTACACCTCTCACATCCCCGACGTCCCCGTCTACTCCCGCTCCATCTTTACCCACCTCTTCTCCCCCGACGCCCGCCCCTTCCCCGCCCACTTCCCCGCCTACACCGACGCTGCAACCGACACCACCCTCACCCGTGCCCAATTCAAACATGCCGCCCTCTCTTTTGCCAACGCCATCCGCACCCACCCCCGTCTAGCACCCCAGTCTCCCGGCGCAACCCTCCTCCTCTTTGCACCAAACTCCATCGCATTCCCCGTCGTCCTCCTCGGCTCCATCGCCGCTGGTCTTTGCTGTTCTCCGGCCAACACCGCCTATGTCCCTAGGGAGCTCCAGCACCAGTACACCGACTCGCATGCCTCCATCGTCGTCACCAGCACCGAGGGTCTTCCTGTCGTCCTCCAAATGTTCCGTTCCCTTGCTCTTTCAGAGCAAGAGATCACCCGGCGCACTGTCGTCATTGGCCCCGGTCTCGCTTGGGCTGGAGGCCCCAAAGTCGACGTCAACGTCCCCTATCTCACTCTTGATCAGCTGCTTGCCATGGACCCACTTGAAAAGGAACATCAGTTCAATGGTCAAGCTGCCAACGAGACCGCTTTCATCTGCTACAGCAGCGGTACCACCGGCAAACCCAAAGGCGTCGAGGTAACGTTCTCCCGTCTATTTTTATCCACTTGTTCTCACCACCCCCCCCCCCCCCCAGACCACCCATGCAAACTTGACCACCAACGTCGACATTGCCAGGACCGTCTTTAAAGTCAACCACCCACACGACAGGCTCCTCGGCGTCCTCCCATTCTATCACATCTATGGTACAAACTCCCTTCACAATCCATGTGTCGTGCGTGCTAACTCTACCCAGGTGCCATAGCCATCATTCTCGTTCCTTTCCTCACCGGCATGCCCGTCATCGTCCAGCCCCGCTTCGACCCCGACTCTTTCTGCTCCAACATTGAAAAGTTCAAAATAACAATAACAATGGTCGTCCCACCCGTCCTCGTCGTCCTCGCCCGGCATCCCGGTACTTCATTCTTCCCCCACTCGTGAAATATATTAACCCCCTCCACAGCCGTTGACAAATACAACCTTTCCACCCTCTCCAGAGCCTTCAGCGCCGCCGCGCCCCTCGGCAAAGACCTCATCCTCCAAGTCACCGACCGCTTCCGCACAAAGGGCATCACCCTCTCCGTCATGCAGGGTTACGGCCTCACCGAGACGTCCCCGATCGCACATATCCTCCCTCCCGAGTTTGCGCTGCCCAAGGCCGGGAGCATCGGTGTTCTCCTCCCGAATCTCGAGGCGCGCATTGTCGATCCCGATTCCCATCAGGATGAGGATGTGCATGAGGGCCAGCCCGGCGAACTGTGGTTGAGGGGCCGCACGATTATGAAGGGGTACCTGCGGAACGAGAGGGCCACGACCGAGGCGATTACGAGCGATGGGTGGTTCAAGACGGGGGATGTCTGTGTGAGAGATGCAGAGGGGTTTTATTGGGTTGTGGATAGGAGGAAGGAGTTGATCAAGTATAAAGGTTTTCAAGGTACGTGAATAAGGTCTGTGTGTCTAGGAGAAGCTGGCTGATGGCTTCGGTTAGTGCCCCCGTCGGAATTGGAGAGCGTGTTGCTCACGCATCCTGAGATTGCGGATGCGGCGGTTATAGGCGTGGACGATCCTAAAGAGGCGACTGAGCTACCGAGGTACGCGCGTCTTTTTTTTTTTTCCCTCTCGACCGTCATTTATTTATTTATTTATCCAAGAGCGTACATTGTCCCTACTGACCCTCGACGTAAAGATACGCACGCGTTTGCGCGGGACGTGAAGAAGTGGATGGAGGGGCGGGTCGCGGGACACAAGTTTTTGCGCGGGGGTGTAGTCGTTGTAGATGTTATTCCAAAGAGGTGGGTGTCTTGATGCCACGCGCAATCTAGTGCTGATCATTGAGATGTTAATAGTGCGGCGGGGAAGATTTTGAGGAGGGAGTTGAGAGAGCGTGCAAAGAGGGAGGGTCTGGTGCAGGCAAAGTTGTAGGCAAGGTTAGGTTCCAAGGGAGGATATATATACCCATGATAGAGTTTTTATCTATTCACAGAGGCAGCGCTGTCTTCGAATTTGGATTATGTATGTAAGGAAATTTGTGTTTCTTGGCCTGTACATTAGACTTCACTGCTCCTCCTTTATCAAAAACTCCTACCATGCCCACCCTCTTGTATCCTATAACATGTAACACAATCTACACCTAGCAAACCCCTGGCCATCCCCTTCACTTGGGATCTTCCCCCTATTAATAGTCAAATCTGCCATTACAAATGTGCACTGGAGGTTTCCAACTCTCTGGTGTTGCACACAGTTGGGTATCTGAGGGGGGCCTTAAACAAGCCCATGACCTGTCTGGCTCCCACTTGGCTGCCTTTGCAGTCAGTCTTAGTGGTGAAGAAGGGTGCCAGTTCATCACTATCAGAGGCACTGATCAGCAAATTGGTGAGGCCCTTGTTGTCATTGAAAAGCGCATTGCTAAGTGGTGTGTGCATGCATTACAAAAGCAGAAAACTGGCAACACTGCATCAGGAGTTGCTTCCCTGGCTCTGTCTCCCTCTGACTCAGATTCTATATTGTCCATCCCTCAACCTCCTCCTACTCAACAGTCCTGACCTCCTCCTCCTACTCCATTAAACAAAACTGTCACTGCCCCACCTACTTGGACTGTGCTGATGCTCCTTCTGGCAGGCAGTCCAATGGCAATTGAAACACCTATGCTGACTATGCCTTTGATGGCCTCTAGTTCTTCAATGGACACCAGCTTGCTAATTGTAGCCCTGAGGCTA